TTCCCAACATGCTAATCTAGCGAACTGCAGGGTTATCATTGGGTAACACCGGCACGGAATAAGAAGGTAACTGTATTGACATCAAAGTTACACAATACAGACCTTTTCTAAGTTCGCTTTTCTCAAATGGCATTTTCTCTTGCACAATGCTGGCATTAAAGAGTCCTGTTAGCTGTTATATTCTCACACAATGCTAGCTTTACCTAACAATAGAGTAACCCAAGAAAACTAAACAATGAAACAATGTCTTTTATATCAGTTCAGCAGTTTTCAAAATCTCCTGTATCTTCACTGGGGAACTACTTAAAATGGTTGTAAAAAACCTGTGTTCCACAGTCCCCCCCCCAGCCCCCCTATACTTACCTGAGCCCCATCGCAATCCAGCCATACAAAGCAGTGTGCTTACAGTGAAGCACAAACACACAGCCCCACAGTAAAACACACACAGTTAATCCTTTGATCGCCCCACATGTTAACCCCTTCCTGCCCAGTGCAATTAGCACAGTGTCATTGCTTTTATTCGCACTGATCACTGTATTGGTGTCTCTGGGGATGTCAGTGACACAGTCAGCTCCCCCCAGTGTCAGAATGCCCGCCGAAGTCCGCTATAAGTCTCTGATCGCCGCCATTACTAGTAAAAATTAAAAGAAAAAAACCTCTGTATATATACCACCATTTGTAAATGCTATAACTTTCATGTAAACCAATTATTTACAATTTTTTTTTTAAGCAGGCATGTAGAAGAATACATTTTGGCCTAAATTTATGACAAAATTTGATTTGTGTGTGTGTTTTTAAATTTTTTTTTTTTTTTTTTCCCCTGAAATTTTTTTTTTTTGTTATAGCACAAAAAATAAATGCTCATGCGATCAAATACTACAAAAAGAAAGCTCTATTAGTGTGGGAAAAAAGAACAGAAATTTCATTTGGGTGCAGCATTGCATGACCGCGCAATTGTCCGTGAAAGCAACGCAGCGTCGTAACGCAAAAAATGGCCTGGTCAGAAAGTGGGGGGGGGTGTGTAAATCCTCAGGAGGGCAAGTGGTTAAGTGATCGTACGATAATCTGATCGTTGGTACAAAGGTTTTTGAAGGGACAAGCATGAAAATTTTCCTTTACGATACCAAATCTTAGAATTGTTTTAGTCCTCTGTCCTATGCACACTGGACGTTTTGAAACCGCTGGTAACGTTGGCTGTGTAAAATCAGAGTGTTTTTTTTTTTTTTTTTTTTTTTTTGCATTAGTGTTTAGCGTCGTTTTTCTGCTTTTGCTGTTTTTAGCGTTTTTTGTGTGGTGTGGTTTTTTTTTTTGTTTTTGTCAAAAAAAAGTCCAAAAAATGCCAGTTTGCAGCGTTTTACAGCTACAAAAACTCCTCTAGAGACCCACTAGTCCTGGGTTTTTTTTTCCAGCCAAAAAAACGTTTATTACAATCTGTGTGCATGAACACATAGGATAACATGATGGGGCGTTTACTGGACATAAAAAAAAGCCATAAACAGCAGCTGTAAAAATGTAAAGCCTTTTCTGTAAACTTTCTAATTTGTGTACGTGTTCCCCGTCTGTATGAAGCCAGAGTCAGTAGCCAGGTAGGTAGGTCAATAGGTCAGTTATGGCAACCTTCATATTTCTCTCATGATGGGTATAGTTCAGTGATCATACAGTGTTGTATATTTTATTTTTTGTTTGTATTTCTTTTATGTGTACTACATTAGACGATATAAAAGTTGTAGTTTTTTCATTATTTTTATATTTTGTGCGTTTTGTTGTTGGAAGGCTTGGGTGTGAGAAGTAAAATCTTCATCCTATCATGTAAGCTTTAAAAATGTAAAGTGGACCTGAACACTAAAGGATTTGTTATGTTGCAGGAAACACTTAGATGATTTGGAGTGAGATTTGGTGAGGTCAGTATTTCTTCTCACTGTTATCCTTGCTGGAAGTTCTGAAACGAGAAAAAAGTCCTGCTTCTCTACCACAATGGCCGCCTTTTATATATGGAAACCTTCAGAATAAATCATGATAGGTTAGTAAAAGGCAATTCTGGTGACTAGTCCTTTGTCCCTACCTGCCTTTTTGTGGCACAGCTTCCACTGTACAGTTCTTCTTGAACATGGTAAAGTCTATCTATAGCCATTTTTAGTTTTTCGATTGAGCAAGGAAGGGTAAAACCTCCATCAGTCTCTTGGCTGGATTTTTTAAATACCTTTGACACATCACCAATTTGCTGTTTGCACAGTTAGAGGAGCTTCAGTCCCTGCTGGTAAGTAAATTGAGCTAAAAACAAAATTGTACCCCTTTTATAAGTCGCTGCATCTCTTTTGGCAAGTTTGGTATGTGTTCGTGCTAGTGGTGCACCGAAATGAAAATTCTGGTGCCGAAACCGAAAATTCAGCATGCACTTGGTCAAAAACCGAAATGCTCAGTTTTTAAAAATGTAATATATATTTTTTTTTGGAAAAAAATACACGGATTTAAAAAAAAACTCAAAAAAAAAACCCCTCAAAAAAACCTTCTATATACCCCAATTGTTTTGTAAAATATGAAAGAGAATGTTGCGGCGAGTAAATAGACACCCAACATGTCACGCTTTAAAATTGCTCGTGGAATGGCATGAAACTGCGGTACTTAAATCTCCATGGGTGATGCTTTCAAAATTTCTACAGGTTCGCAGTGTAAAGTTACAGAGGAGGTCCAGTGCGAGAATTATTGCTGTTGCTCTGATGCTCGTGGTGGTACCTCACGTGTGTGGTGTGAACACTGTTTTACATATGTGGGCATGGCCTACGTATGCATTCACTACTACGTGCGAGCACGGGGGGACGGGGACACTTTTAAACTTTTTTATAATACAATTTTTAAATTTTTTTTTTCTTTTTTTGCACTGTCCTTTTAAAAAAAAAATGTATTTTATTCTTATCACAAGAAATGCATGCATCCCTTATAATAGAAATAATTAGTGACCCTTCATCTCTCCTCTACAGTGTAAAAAAAAAAAAGCATTGATCTAGTGCTCTGTTCAGCGCTGGGATCGATGGTTTCTCAGGTAAGGCTGAGAACTACCGAGCGGTGGACGGCGGTGAGGGGTGGGGTTTTTTTTTTTTTTTTTTTTTGGCACCTGTATCTGTGCTTTTTTTTCCATTTTGTCAAACGGTCGAAAGGGGTGTTTTCGGACGAAACGTTTCAGCCACCGAAATTTCGGTGCATCCCTAGTTCATGCAATATTTACTTGCTGAATTTAAGAAGAAAATTGTTACTGTGGGCAGTTGAAGCCGGTGCTGATGTGCTTCCATGTTGCCATCGAGCTGGCTATGCAGAGCGCACCACCTGTTCTTGTGCCTGCGCAGTGAAGGCACGGTGCACATGGTTGATAACAGGTTATCATAGCGGTGAATCCTTTATTCAGAAATGGTGCCTGCCTCCACCTGTAATTACATATTTTCCACTTTGGAAATAATATGCTGCCTGAAGCAGAGAATGCCCGTTGACTCTTGGGACTGATGATTCAGATATCCCAGGATTCTACGGGACACCCTGGATGATGTAGACTGCCGTGGCAGAGGGGAACGGAAGAGGAGGAAATTTTAAAATTAAAGAGGTACTTTTTTAATACATGAAAAGGCAATATCTAAACTGTAAATGTGAAGGTATCAGCAATTTATTGGGGCAAAGTTTTTCAGGAGGGTGAAGTTCCGCTTTTAGGTAGAAAAAGGATCTTTTGTTCAGTTTGTTACATTTTTTTTTATTACCGTGTTTCACCAGCTGGTTTTCTGGTGTACTGAACTTGGTAAAACGATTGTGGTTTCCTGGCAGTTACAATGTAATACCAGTGCAATACCTCGTATTTCTTTCTTTGTGGCTGTGAGCCTGCAAACCTTACATCACAGCGGTAACTGTAAAAGAAGAGCTTTTCTCTAAAAGCTGTCCATGTCTTGTTCTGATTAAGCTAGGGTTACATTGATGGTTAGGACTAGGAACAGAAGGAGCTTCATGTCACTTTGTAAAGTGCTGCGCAAACTGTTAGCGGTATGTAAATCCTGTATCATAATTATGATGACCTTGTACCTCCTCTGATATGGTAGCTGATTCCCAGCCACACAGTACTATGGAATGGGTAACAGGTGGGCCTGGGCAAAAAAATCAGTTGTACATTGCTTATTGAAAGTTCTGTCATTCGCAACTTGTCTCAAACTGAAAAATCGGGGTGCCTGACTGTGCTTCCATTACAAAAATTCATGTCATCAATGGGAGCTATGCTGGATCTGTTCCTATCCTTACCATTGTTCTACTGTATATAACAAGGATGACTAGTAGCCAAACACAAAGTATTATGATGATGATTTTATTATTATTATTATTATTATTATTACACAGGACCTATATAACACCAACAATTTGCACAGCAGCATCCAAAATGAAGGCAAGACCGTACAGTTACAATCCAGTACAAGAGGCATTAGATGCGCCACATTGTTTGACATCATGCTTCAACGATGGCTGCATGGTAATTCTTGGGGCTGGTTTCTGACAACTGTAATGTTTTGGAGATTTTTTTTTCGCACTGCGTTTAGTCCAATTCAGAACCCGTTTTTAGGGATGGTTGGCCCATGTTCATTAACCACTTGCCTACAGGGCACTTATACCCCCTTCCTACCCAGGCCAATTTCCAGCTTTCAGCGCTGTCGCACTTTGAATGACAATTGCGTGGTAATGCAACACTGTACCCATATGAAATTTTTATCATTTTTTTGTGACAGAGCTTTATTTTGGTGGTATTTAATCACCTCTGGGTTTTTAATTTTTTCTTAAACCAAAAAACACTTAAAATTTTGAAAAAAAAAAAAAAACGTTTTTTCTTAGTTTTTGTTATAAAATTTTGTAAATAAGTGATTTTTCTCCTTCATTGATGTGCGCTAATGAGGTTGCACTGATGGGCACTGGTAGGTTGCACTGATGGGCATTGACAGGCATCACTGATAGGCACTGAAAGGCAGCACTGATATATGGCACTGACTGGCACTGTTAGGTGGCACTGACTGGCAGCACTGATAGGTGGCACTGATTGGCATTGGGTGATACTGAAAGGCAGCTCAGATGGACATTGATATGTGGCATTGATGTGGCACTGATGGGCACTGGCACGTGGCACTGATGAGCACTGACACAAGGCACTGATGGACACTGACAGGTGGCAGTGCTGGGGCTACACTGATCATCAGGGCACACAGTGGCCTGATGATCAGTGTACATGTCCCCTCTGCGAAATGCTGATTACCGGCTCTCTTCTCCTCACGCGCTGTCAATGTGACAGCTCGAGAGGAGAGAAATACCGATAACCGGCATTTCCCTGTTTACATGTGATCAGCTGTGATTGGAGACAGCTGATCACATGACCGAGCCGACATCATCGGCTCTTTCCATGGGTCGGTGATCCGCTGTGTCCGAGGGACACAACGCAATGCCGATCACCACGCATGCGCGGTGAGAATGGTAGGACGTCATATGATGTCCTCCCAGAACGAGAAAAAAACCACCTTGCGCCCGTCATTGGACTATATGGCGGGCGGGGGGTGGTTAAAAAGAGGAAAGTTCACAAAAAAATCAATAGCCCTCACAGGGTTCTAGGCCTTAGTGTTACCAAAAACTACCAGGATTCTGCATTCACTATATCTGGTCTCCCATGGTACACAGAACATGGAAATGCATTTTCCATTATTTTAGTAAAAAACTGCTAAACACCTTTTCTCATCAGAAGTTAGAATAGTCTGGTGACTTCAGTAGAGCACTGCTTAAACCTTGTAGGCAGGGGCATCCCTAGGCAGGTGCAGGTCGCACCGGTTGACACCTATTGCACGGGGTGACACTGGACCCGCTCCACAAAAAAGGTAAGTTTTAAAGCAAGCCCGACAATCACGCAGGATGGGTCGGATCTGCGGATTGAGTATAATGGATCGGAGTCCGATCTATTATCCTCCCCAATCCGCAGATCCTAGCCATTCTGCGGTGATCACCGGCTTGCAACCTATACGGGGTTAACTGATCTCTCCACGAGTTCCACGAAAAGGTACGTTTTAAAGCAAGCCGACGATCCCTGCAGGATGGATCGGATCTGCGGATTGGGGAGGATAAAGGATCGGACTCCAATCCATTATGCTCAATCCACAGATCCTGTGGGGATCGTTGAAGGGGGTGTCACCAAGTGCTCCGGCACTGGGTGACACCAACCCTAGGGACTCCCCTGCTTGTAGGAGGAGTTTTGTTCTTTCTGCTCTAGGAGGATGCAGAACCCCTGACCTCTTTTGGACAGTGCTGATTGGCCCTGTACCTTTAGCAATACACACTAAACTGAGCATGTGCATGTGACTACGGGTTTAGTCTGTCTTATCAGGTGGACTTTTGAGCAAGAGGAGGGGCAGAGAAAACCGGACCAAACAGCCTTTTTTTACACAATGCACAGTGAGTAAAACCAGCATGCTTTTCTGCATATACAGACTGATTTTACTGTTGTGGGTTTAGTAACACTTTAAGTCGGATCCCACAGGTTAACTCGCACAGCTGCTTACACTCGTCTCACTCACAGCTTACTCTCTTTCTGCTCTTTGCCTCTTTGGCAGCTCCCTTGCAACCACATGTTCTCCTTGAGAGGGTGGAGTCCTGATCTACTCTAAGGTTTCAGACAAGAACAGGTGTGTACACTGTGACGAGCGCTGCGTCAGACCCCAGTCCTTCTCACCAACTTGTGACTGAAGGACTACCCAATCTAAAACCTCGCTGCCACTTGCGTAACAATGCCACTCTTAGCTGCACCCTGTACAAAGATTTTCCAGCTCACTGGACCTCAATCTATGTACCAACAGCCTGAGAGCAATTGTTACGGGGTCAGGTTAATTACGCAATTAACCCTTCACACTGCCACCACCATCTTTTTACAGAGAAGGAGGATATTCACAAATCTTAGCAGTAACACTATGATGTTTGAATAAGTGTCTGTATACACACTGTCACCGCAGACAGATGTATCCAGAGGTTTTAAAACACACAGTAGCACTCTTCAGAGACAGGGATTCTTAGTTTGCATTAAAGAGCTTTAGAAACAATTCAACACTTTTCAGAAAATAGGATTTATTACTAAAAAGGTCAAAGTTGTGCAATAAAAATATTTACAGAAAATATGTAATATATATATATATATATATATATATATATATATATATATATATATATATATATATATATATATATATATATATATATAGAGAGAGAGCAATAACACAACAGAGATAAAAAAAAGTTTAAGAAGGTAGAATACTTGCAGAAGTCCTGGTTTAAGCAGAGTTCAAGTGTCCTGAACAAAAGGGTACCTTTTCTTCCGAAGTTGGTTCCTGATGTTAAAAGGGAGAATCTCTTCATCATCCTCTCCAGGCATGACAGCCTGTTTTCTAGTGTCCCAACAGGGGTTGTCTACTGAAGCCAAGGGCCAATCGCCTCTCATTTGGGGAGGGGGTTTAGGCGGAGACCCAGGCTGTGACCCAAATCCTCCACAAGTTTATACCATGGTCAATAACCTTCCATAGGTGCATGCAACAGCCTAGCCACTGGTAGGTTGATATGCAGAACCATACTCTGAACATCCAGACATCAACTATGACATATCTGCCTGTGACGGTTAAAGAGATATCGCTTTCTGCTCTCTGGTAGACGCTATCGAGGCGTGTAAGGTATCAGACGACATGTATTAAAATTACCTATCTGAATATATGCTTTGTTTTATTGTACTTTGTTCCTGCCGGGATTTATGAAATTGTATGAAAAATCCGTTTCAAGTAGGATGTCTGTTTTACTGCCACTCTGGAATGCTTTCATGTCCAGTGACTGACTGGTTTATTGCTTTACGATTAGGCCAAGGCAAGGGTCTGACAGACATCATGGAACCAGCTAATGGGGTTTACAACCATGAAGTGTATCCAGCTGTGCCCGATGCAGTTGTGACCCCAGCATACACACACACCACATGCCATTCAAAAAAAAGGGGAGGGGGACTGATTTGGAGTGAGAATGACATTTGCAGAGTATGATCCAAATTATGGTTGTCATTGTCCATATCTGTGCACACAATTATCACATACACCTTCCATCAGTGTGCTGGTTGCCTGCAAAACCTGGTTCCAGGTTTGACGATTTCCTCCCTCCCAAGTCTCTATGAAATTTCCAGGCTCCAGGTCCTAAACCGGGTTTTACCAACTACATAGGAAACTGAAAAAACAATTTCCTTCGAATGAAAGAAGCCCTCTGGAGCCCCCAAACCTGCCTAGTTGAGAATCCTTGATGACACAAACCCTTTTAACACCATGACAGGGCACCGCACTGTCACACAAACGTGGATTATTCTTGTGTCATTTGTCTTGATATGGCCACGTCTCCATTGGAAGCTGTAGGACTGGGTGACCATGTAAAAGCACAATTGGACTACAGGGACAGGGCGTTATCACCCCACAATTGAAAGTGCCTGCACAACGACCTTCATGGCAGGATCACCACTTCAATACCGGGCACTTTTACCCCTTCCTGCCCAGGCCAATTTTCAGCTTTCAGCACTGTCGAACTTTGAATGACAATTGTGCGGTCATGCAACACTGTACCCATATTACATTTTTGTCATTTTTTTTTTCACACAAATAGAACTTTCTTTTGGTTGTATTTAATCACCACTGAGTTTTCTATTTTTTGCTAAATAAAACAAAACACACCTAAAACTTTTGAAAAAAAAAATTCACTTTTTCGTTTCTGTTAAAATTTTGCAAATAAAATTTCTTCATAAATTTAGGTCAAAATGTATTCTGCTACATTTCTTTTGGTAAAAAATTAATTATAATTGAATTTTGTATTTTTTTTTTCAAATGTTTGTTTTTTTTATTTTTGATTAAATTTGTTTTCTTTTTTTTTACTATTTTATTTTCAGCACACTATGACCAAAGCAATAAAATGTTACCATAGTAACATTGAACTACTCTGTAAAAGTGATCAGGATTTTTTTTTTTTTTTTACACATTATGCTTGCTAATACGAATGTATTTCATTGATATTTGCAATCATGGTTACTGAAGAAATTGATTCATTCAGTCTTTTGTTGTGATTAGCTGTGATTGGGCAAATCTGATCACATGATACAGATGGGCTGTGATCGGCCCTGTCTGTATCATGTGACTGCCTTGACCAGTCACAACTTATGCCATCCATTGTATACAATTATGTTGTGACAGGAAGCCATCCATTGTATACAGTTTAACATGTGATCTGCTGTGATTGGTCACATGACACTGGCAACAGGCTGGTGTAGTGATATGTCATTGGCTGTGTCCCGTAGGCACAGCTGGCGACAGATCATGCCTCTGCAACTCGTTTTGACAGGACGTCATAAGATGCCCAGTCATAACGGTGAGTGTCCCAACCCAGCCGTCAATCTGCTATAGGCTGGGCGGGAAGGTGTTACATTTTTGGTAGAGTGGTGATATTCACCTTCTCGATATGTCTTAGTGGCCATTGTCATCAAGACCAAAAGTAATGTAAAATCCAAAACATTAGGGTTGTGATCAGCGGGGAAAAAAAGAAGAAAATCTTTCAGCGTGGGACACCTTTTTCCTATGACTGCTCTCTATGATGCAACGTGCTGTTCATTTTGGAGAGGTTTCTTTCTTTACCTTTGTGTCTCTGGGGCAGTAGGTGAAGGGAAATCTCCCCAGTAAGATACAGGCAAAAAAAAAAAAAAAAAAAAAACCCCAATAAAACATTGGTCCCCAACTTTTTTGGCACCAAGAACCAGTTTCATGAGACAATTTTTCCACGAATCAGTTGGGGTTGGGTGGTGATATAGCCTGCCACCAGATGCAACACAGCCTCAGATCATCAGGTATTAGATTCTCATATGGAGCACGAAACCTAGATCCCTGGCACGTTCAGTTTACAGTAGGGTCCGCGCTCCTTTGAGAATCTAAGACTGCCGATGATTTGACAGGAGGCAGAGCTCAGACGACAATGTGAGTGACTGCAGGGCTAATTTACAGTGTGCGGTGACACATTTTACTGCATTGTAAAACATTTGCCACCGCAAAGACACACAGGAAACAACTGTTTCCTATGCGTCCCATTCACTCTGCAATGCTGCCTATGGCTGTGCTGTAGCATGCTGCAATAAAATGCAGACATACTGGATTTTATCGCAGAGTACCATGCCGAATCGCATGGCAATGTACAGCATTATTATTAATAAACTTAAAAAATATAAATAATTATTAACAGTTAATGTTCTAAATGTTCCCTATAACTTAGCCAGTCCTCACTTTTTCAGTTTTAAAGCTTTATAAGAGATGTTCGTGAATCGAAT